TGTCGCAGTTCTGGTTGTGAGAGGCATCAGGTGCAGGGATTCACGCCGCACCGAGGCTTTGGCTAGGTGACACCCTTTGTGGCTTGTGGTATTTGCAGCGGTGCTCTGATTGTAATGTATACCATGGTTATGAGGGAAACTCCACACGTCTGTCTCTTCCATCGCTACATGTGGGCCTGAGGCGGCGCAAACATTTGATCCTCCTGTGATGCCAGAACCAGACATTTTCTTAATGAGGCGCTTGGGGGTGTCAAAAGTGAGCATTCTAGTCATTTTTCCATCAAAACCTTTTTGATTAACACGCCTGTCGCTGTTTTGAACAAATGTCTCCCAGGGTGCGTACTGGCGAAGCATGTGGGAGGAAACGCTCAATGAGACACTTAGAGATAAAACACTCGCCACGATTTGTATTATTATACAGTTTGCAGAGAAAACAAAAAACAATTTCCTTATTTGATAACCGAACATACAGAGGATGTTCGGCGTGGAGCCGAACTGATGAGTCAAACACCACTCTGCTCGCACCCCCCCGTTTTGTTTGTTCACCACGTCAGTTATTAAAATCAAAATCAACCATTTCTGTATGTTGTCAGTGGCAACTCAGCAGGGACTTCTCTGCTGGCTTAAACATCATCCTACTATAAACTTCATTTTAGTATATTCTCTTTATTTCTTAGTTTTCCTCTTGGTTGCGCTACACGCCTTAAGTCGAGACTTGGAGGGTGGGCCCTTTTTAAGTGAGAGTTTTTATGCCATCATATTTCAGCCATCATGTGTTTCCAGGGCCCCAAGAGATCTGCCCCGTAGGGCCCTCAGAAATCAAGAACGCGCATCAACCGGACTGGTGCGTTTTAGGGGGTGGAGATTCTCTGGGCACTTCACGATCCAATTCCGGAGGGCCACGGATTCGATTCTTAAAGCCGATTATCGGTTCTAAACTGATAAAACGATTAGCGATGCATCTCGATTTTCTAACTTTTCTCAATCTGAGTTTGCTACTCAGAGGTTGCTAATCACTTACCTACTTTATTTGATAATTAGAGAAAATCAACAGATGAATTACCTTCTCTAATTTTTTATACGGGAAAAAACATTTGTCACAAATATGATTTTCTATCAACAATGCAAGAACCAATGCAGCTTGCATTTCAACACAATATAGAAGTAACCTATGTAAAAAAAATGTTAAACAGATTCATTTTTCTTTTAAATGAAGAAAAAGCTGCTCTTAGTCTCAGACCGGTCTGTATTTGTAAAATACAGTAAAAAAGTCCAAATCTGTGAATATCTTGCCAACTTTCAATTCCGGAACGACTTTTTGGAAAATCGAAATAATGAGGTAAGATATGCGCAGGCTCCTCCATAGTTCGGTAAAGTTGGCAAGATATTCAGATTCAGACTGACGGACCGGTCTGCGAGCTGGACGCATTGCTCTTAATGTGCCGGTAATGATGGTAAATGATGGTTGTAGCTGGTTGTCATCTACGGTCCACTACGATTACCGAAGGGGGGCGTTTGTTTTTTGACAACGTTTTATCCCATAATTTCGACTTTCTATCCCCTTTCTTTAGTGCGGAAATGGGCTTCTATAGTTGTGTGAATGCATCACTCCAGCCAATCCAAAGACGGGGTTTGTAACCAATCAGGTGTAGACCATGGTGACTGGCTCCGCCCCCTTACTGTCAAAGAGACTAACCTCGCGAGTGAGGAAGTTCACGCTCCGCGAGCGAGCAAATATCTCACGCGAGATGGACTTTTGCTCGTGTGAGACAGGATTTTTTTTTTTTTTAAATTCCGATTATTAACTTTTCTGAATCGAGACCGAATCGTTCTAGAGAGAATCGAGAGAAATCGAAAAATCTTTTCCCCCACCCCTAGTGGCGTTAACCAATCACGTTTCCAGTTGCCGACACCGGGGCCAGCTAGCCGTAGTCAGCACGTGCACGCCTTTTGATTGAATGCGCACCAGTGTTGGGCGGAGCTGTGCCGAGCCAGCAAACTCAACCGGATGACCCCGAGGTGACCTGAACAAGCTCACTTGTGTAGATCTACAAGCTGGTTATTTTCAACCCACAGTGGCTGATTGATTTGGTCGCAGATATACTTCAAACAACCTTTTCAAGACTGACTCCTCAAGAAAAGTTAGACATTGTGGGAAGAGGTCGGCCAACCCCGACGCTAGCTTTTCAATCATTAGACGTTGTGGTCATTGTCAATCGCTCTTCACCGGGCCTCACTTAGGTTTTGTCACCACAGCCCAACGACCAGCTTTAGCAAACGGGGGTTAGAAGGAGCACGGGGGGAACTTTATGGACCTGTGGAGGCACACACTTTGATAGGCCTACTTTAAAAAGTTAATGCTGCCGAACTCCCAAAGTCTGCCATTGACACCAGAGGCAGCGACCCAAAGGCCGAGCTAGGTGTAGAGTTGAAGCTCCTTCGGTTCTGTCTCTCTCGGCAGCATAGTACATGCCTGCGGCGCACTGGTGGAATTCATGGGCTCTCAAGCATCAGCAAAACGCTCCATAAGGCCTCTTTTAAGTCGGAAATAAACTCACTTGCTTTTGCCTATTACTTTACTCCCTCCTCGTTGTGTCTCCATCCTCCTCCTCCTCACAAATATTCTGAATTTGCGTTGGATGGAATTCAGGACAGGAGGTATAAATGGAGGGAAGAAAGGCGTGGACTGGAGATGGGAAGCTGTGTGTGTGTGTGATTATTAGGTCGGTAATTAGGCCTCGTTGCCTGTTGTCTCCCCCCTCGCTCACCCTTTTGAAGTTTCCTCTCCTGGAATACCCGCAAGCCGCCGAGAGGCTCCGGGAGGGGGTGGGAGTTCTCGGGAGTGTGTGTGTGTGTGTGTGTGTGTGTGTGTGTGAGAAATTCAATTGTTGGAGGTGATAATGATGACTGTCTCATATTTCTTTCGATGTGTCTCTCTCTTGTCGGCAAATCGCTTGGATACCCCCCCCCCCCCTCCCCACACACACACACACACGTCACATGAGTCTCTTTGTTTTGGTTTGTTCCAGAGATAAAACCCGGCTCTGTTGCCCTCCTCAGTAAGGGAGACAAAGCGCACATATCTCACGCGCGGTGAGTGTGTGGGTGTGTATGAGGGGGGGAGAGAGAGAAAGTGTTTGTGTGCGTTTGCTAGAGAGGGCTTCTCCAGTGCCGTTATTTTGTGTGTGTGTGTGTGTGTGTGTGTGAGTGAATGCCGATGGGGTTAGCATGACACACTTCCGCTCTAAAATTGGGCTAATCACACTCCACATGAGTCACTGGCCAACACTTTGTAGATTAGCTATATATTGCATGATATATCTACATCTCGTGCCACTTTACTGCTGGATGGGATTAGTCAGACATTTGGCTGTGTTACTGTTTGCTGCTGTTCAATCTTTCCATTATTCTTTGCACCTTTTTAGGACATATTGTCCTTGTTGTAGGTGTTGAGCCTGGTTTTGAGTGTCTTTTCCGATAGCTGTCTCCAACGACAACCGATGCTGAAAAATGTTGAATTGATCATTTATGCCCCTAGTTTGTGCATCGTCTACGTGCAAACCCGGTGTGACACTAAGCAAGTGAACGGCATCGGCAGAGAGAGTGTGTGACGAAGACCACGGACTAATGTCTCGCTTGCTCACCTGCTGGTCTGAGTGGAGGTGATTAACGTTGAAGCTAGCAACCCGGGGTGACCTCAGGCGGCTGGACTTCTAAGTCGAGCCATCAATTCTCCTTCGAGGGACGAGGCGCTCTTTTATGTTTCTGACGTTGCTGCTACGTGGCAGCGTGGAATCGGAGGCAGAGTGGGCTACAGAAGTTTATAATTGCAATTTGCTGTCCAACAAACCAAACAGTTATCGGTTACGAATAATTTATACCAACAAAAATGTTTTTGTGGACACAACTTAGTCATACAATATGTATTAGTAAGAATACAAGCTAGAGTAAAATCTGTAAGACTTGATGTCTAACTCATACCTAACAATTCCTATTCATGAATTAAATTAGGTCGACTGCTAAGAAATTCAGGTCATATCCTGCCCGAACACACACGCAAACCTACATCCGCACGCATTGCACTCTCATTTCCCTTTTATAAGTGTGTGTGTTTTTGTATCATAGGTTCTGATGACTGGGTTGTCTGTCGCTGTGAGGTTTCCCTCATACGACGTCCTAACACTGATTGATGACAAGTCTCTCGTCACGCAGTGCCGTGAATTGCAAATTGGCAAAATGGGGTGTGCGAGCAGATGGTGTCTCCTGAGTACGACTGCACTATCGACTTTGAGAGAGGACGAGAGGGAGGGGGAGAGAGAAAGCGAGACGGCGGCGGCAGGGGTCACTTTGTTTTGGTCTGAGGATCGGGGGGGAATGGGCGGGAGGCTTCCTCCACTACTGTAGAATGGCCGGTACACACACAACCACACGCAAACATGCACAACTATGTGCGTGGGGAGTTGACACGGCAGCACAATGAGCAGGGACCGGCTTGAGGCATATCGAGCAAGGTGCTTCCTGTGACCTGGACGACTGCTGCGTCAACATAGAAGCACTCGTCTGGCATCCGTGTGTGTGTGTGTGTGTGTGTGTGTGTGTGTGTGTGTGTGTGTGTGTGTGTGTGTGTGTGTGTGTGTGTGTGTGTGTGTGTGTGTGTGTGTGTGTGTGTACGTGTGACTGATTTGACTCACTCCCCCTTCAATTAGTCATTCATTTCTCCTTGTTTAAATGTGTGAATGTGTGTGCAAATGAAAACAGCTGTGTTCGAGATCGTGATATTCATCCTTTATTCATGCTTTATTCATGTGCTGTTCAATCATTTTCAGTATTGGATTAAAAGCAGCTTTAAGTTATTCATAAGCTGAGATATTTTGGATTGTACAGAGGCTTCTGGAATCCCCAGACACACACAATGAGACCATTCCTCTAAATGTTGCTTGCAGTTGTCTGTCTCAGGTCCGACTAAAGGTGGACTGTGTGTCTCTGTGTGCGTCCCACAGGCTGCACGCCGCCCTGCTATGGAGAAGATGAAGAGGATTAAGAAGCGGCTGTCGTTAACGCTGCACTCCAGTCAGACCATCGACGAGTCGCTGTCTGAGCTGGCCGAGCAGATGACCATCGACGACGGAGGCACAAAGGACAACGGTACCAAATCCACTATATTCAACTCTTAAGCCTAGTTTATGCTTCTGCGTTTTCACAGGGACACAAGGAAACGCAGACACAAGAGTCCCTTGCGTGTCCCTTCCGTGCCTTTTCAAACGTGCTTGCATGCGTCGATCCATTTTCCTAGGCTTGCGAAGCAACGCAAGCCTCCCGCAGGGCACAAGGCTGCGATTGGTCTGCTAACTACATCCTTTACGGAGTCTCACATTTCCGTTTTCATAGCACAATACCGCCATTTTTAAAACGAAGAATGTTTACGAGAGAACGGATCAAATTGAAGATCTTTTGTTGGAAGAAATGCGTAAATATGACCGCTTCTACAAGCCGTCATTGGCGGACTATAAGGACGTGCGGATGGCCTCTGATTCATGGAGGGAGATCGCCACAAACATCAGTTTGCCGGTCGAGGGGAACAAAGTTGGCGGAAAATACGGGACAAATGTGTCTGCGATGAAACGCAACAGTGGCGATGCACGGGGCAATAAAGTGTATGATAAATAAATAAACAAACCAACAACTTCCACACACAAAGACGTGACTCTCTAGGTCGTCTTCGACAAAAACACGTTACTCCACCTGTTGTTCTGGCGGTGAATTGATCTGCAACACACGCAAGACTTTTAGAACCATGAAATGAAACGAGTGCGTCGACACAACGGTGCAAAAAAATAAATAAATCTGAAAAGATTTGTATAGCATATAATGCATACATACATACATATAATGCATTGATCTGGGAAGTAATAATTAAGTAGAATCACCAGCGCATTGGCATTTTTTATTTCATTTTGTGAGTGTAGGATTCTTTGAGCCTTTGGCAGGAGGGCGGCCACTTAAGACAGCCACTTAAACACACACACTTTGTGGGAGGGGGGCTAGGCGTTTAGGGTGGACGCGTGCTCACTGTCCGCTGGTGCAAGCGTCGGGTGCACGCATACGGGCGTAGGTGTTGGGGCAGAACTACTGTTTGCTTATGTGTGTGTGTATAATATATATATATGTGAGCACACACATGATTATCTAACACTCGGACGGTTTTAGCATCGCGGTACGGTTCGTCTCCAGTATGTTGACGGTGTGTTAGTCACATTAAAGTGATAAACTGCCACTTGTGATTGACAGCTGCCAGAATAAAAGTACACTGAATGCTTCCTGCAAACTGATTTGATATGAGTTGTTCAATCGGCAAGTGTGGCTTTTATGAATGGCCCAGTGAATATATTGAAATACGAGACACGTTGTATCCTATCTACTGCCGGTTGCTGAAAGGATTCCTCTCAGAATCCACGAAAACCCCGGCTAGCCGAGACATTTTACCTCCTTATGTAACTCATCCTAAACTTGTTGTTCTGATACAACTGACAACCACCTGCAGAGTGCATACCGTTACAATGACTCGTGGGACCATGGCACGGTCTGTCGCCTCCGCTTTTAGAAGGTGGGATAAAGTTGCCAGGAGCAGAAAGGTCAAGCCACACGTTGTGAGAGACTTGTGTGCCGTCTCATGCGGTTCACAACGGGACTATTTAAGAGCTTTTCACAAGTGTGCTTCATCTGAACTCTTGACAGTCTTCTGTGATTGGAGATTTGACCACTTGTTGGGGCCCCTGACTGAGGCTAATATTTTCCTTATTAGTCGAGTAACATCATTGCCCTGGATTTGACAATCCTGCTACTATAGATGCAGGCAGTTGGCTCAGATTGCCAAAACGAAATTCAGTTGTTGTCAGCTGTAACTAGGTGTTGGGAATAGAAAGGGATGCAGATTTAGTCCTCAACTCGCTCAAACGTATATTCTTATCATTCAATTTCCTTGTAAGCAGCACAGTCTCCCCGCCAGTTATTCAAACCTGACTTGGTGCAACATTACACAGCTTTGGAGAATATTTGATTACATTTCTCACAAATTTAGCTCGATGTTTGTTATTTTTGGATACTTGTACTTAAATGTCAAATAATGTCCTGTGGGTTTAAAGGACGCTCGACTGCACAACGTGTGTTTGAAATGAAGAGCGCACTGCGGCGGGTTGACGGAGATGATGTTTTAGTTTCGTTTCATGTTGATATTCGATGTGGGGTGATGAAGATTTGCGAAGATGTGACTGCAAACCCCTGATTCATCAACCGGTCGTTGTTGTTCCGTTGTGTTTCAGAGCCCTTCATGAGGAACGGGCGCCCCCCCACCTCGCACAGCATGCACTCCTTCCTCCACCAGTATACCGGCTCCTTTAAGAAGCCCCCGCTCCGCCGGCCGCACAGTGTCATCGGCGGCACCCTGGGGTCCTTCATGGCAATGCCTCGCAACGGCAGCCGTCTAGGTGAGACACACGCGCACCCTTCAGCACATGTTCTAACACTCGCGCACCAGGAAGGAAGTGACTAGTGAAAGTGCAGATGGCATCCGGGAAACCAAAAAAAACAAAACGTGTTGCGACCCTGACATTTTCCGTCCTGCTGCTTGTGGAGAGCACACTTGAAATGACGGGATGTCTCCATCCGCGGGGGACAGATGCACTGGGGATTCAGTCACTCAGGACTCTGTATCCGGCACGAGCTGATTCAGATCGGCAGTCTGAGATTGTGATGCAGGGGGAGGGTGAAACAGACGTTTTGTTTGGTACCAAAATCTACCTGCCAATGAGCTTTCTAAATATTCAGTCCAGTGGGCATGCGAGCCACAACACTGACGAGGCTGTGTACAACTTCACAAAAACACCAGTGTGCTGTACCCTCTTTAAATTGTAGTATTTTGAAATTGTTTCCTTACTGCTAAACACCACGTCAGAATACTGACCGGTGTTTCTTGCCAGATTCATAACTGCTCTCATAAGCCGCCGTAATCAGTGTGTTTGACTCAATGTTGTAGGTTATACCCCTGGAGTAGTGGAATAGTGTTCATTATTTCATTAATAACGTGGGCCCTGATCGATGCTTCTTGAAGCATATTTTCGCGGCCGGGAGGGGGGAGAGGGGGTTACACTAGAGAGGACCTGTCGAGTGTCGCACTGGACCCTGGCCTAGATAGAGGGACTTGGATCCAAAAACAGGGCAGCTAAGTAGGACATCGATGTACCACATACTGCTGCTATTCTCTATGTGCTTATTAGCAGAGCTGCTAAAGACTGCAAAGAGAACAAGCATGGAGAGAAACCGATCATAAAGTCAGAGAATAAGTACAGAATACTCTCAAGAAGGCGAGGGAAGGATGTTTGGAGAAGGACCAAAAGACCAAAAGTGGGTGGTGGATCGAATCGTTCAAGGTTTTTGAAAAGAGGAAGAAGTGAGGCAAGACGAGATAAGAGACGTACAACAACAATATAGGGAGATTAGAAAACAGCCTTCAGGGTTTTTGAATCAGGTTTGGCTGATGACGGGATAATGTGAAAATATTATTGCGAGCGAAAGAATTTAGGAGTTTTTGGAGGAGATGACGGGATAAAATAGGTGGAGATAATGAAAAGGAATGCAAAAGTAAAAGTAGGCTGAAAGGAACGGAAAGTAGGACAGATGAGATCATTTGCACAGGTAGCAGCCGCAGTCAGACCGGCTGAAAGACACGACGAGTTATATCAGAGCAACGGAGACATATGTAGAGCAAAAAAGAAAGAATGCTGGTAATGGGAAGTGAAAGAAATTGGGGAGGTTTGTTAAGTAAGGCAAGAAATGTGACCGCGGACAACACCAGAGATAGAAGTCACCAAAAAAGGGAAGAGCAGACTAGAAAATGGTGCGAGGATGAGTCGTTTGCAAGATGGTTACAGAAAGAAAGTTAGGAGGAAATGTGGCACTTATGGGGAAAGTTATTGAAGGACAATGAAGACTGGAAGACAAGGTTATTTTTCATAGCTTGCATTGAGCACATTAAATGTGTGCATGGAAAAAAAACACTACTCCTAAAAAGGCATTGGATGGGTTAAATACAGTGGTCAAACATGTCAGGGGCCTATCTGTTTTATAATGATAGCAGTACAACTCCATATCCATCTGCTTGTGCATGTACAGGCTCGTTTAGGTATAGAGAGGAGCCCCAAGAACGCCATATACGGTCAGCCATGTCTCTGGAAGTGCTAGCAGCTGTAACGTGGTGTTAATTGTTAGGAACAGAAAGTAGCAACCAAGAAAGATTAAAAAAAAGAGGAAAAATATCACAGACAATGAGATTAGATTTTTAATGTTAGATTCCGGTTGCCTTGGCGTAACCCGTGGTTACCAGGAGGTACCAGCAAATGCGGCGTATTGTAAAGTTCCTAGAAGTCTAAGAAGAGCTACAAAAAAATACAATGGTAGAGTGATTGATCTGCTCACAGTGCAGCCAAATAAACTCCTGCTGTTTTTAAAGAAAAAGGTCAGTCAATTATTAGCTGATTTCCGTCAGGCCACGAGCAACCGCAGGCTCATTTCCTACTGTACATGACATGTGACAGCAGAAAACAATAAATAAATGTTAGTTCTACATCAAATGGCTCACTCCAACTTCTTGTTCCTTTACTCCCTTGCAAATATAAAAAGTTATACTTGAAAAAAAGGGCTGTCTATAACTGCTGTCTTTTTCTTTCGATGCGTTTTTGATTATAGCCTCAGTGATGAATACAGCGTGGGATGGTTCATGAATAAAAGCCATGCTGTATTTAGCCAGTTCTCTCGATCTTGAGCAGGACAAATGTTTCAATGGCAGAAACATAATTGATCTTTGTGGCAGCAGAAGAATGAACAGTAAACTGTGAGGCTGAAATCACTGAAATAGAATCATGTATTTGCATCATGTCCTGTGTGAATCCCACACATGCTCATTTAAGGCGCTGGGTGGGAATGGCAGACCCGCCGCTATCATTGACAAATAGAGGGAATTACAGAATTATATTGAGTAGCTCCTGCTGAAAATTGTTGACCATAAATGTGTGTAATATCTCTATAATTTTAACTTATCATACATTTTTTTCCGAAATAAAGGATTTTCTTGTTTCCTAAATATAAAGAGCCCATTTGACAGTCCGCCATTGATACTCATATTAATGTTATGACAAGTCGCAGTATGACCACGAGTCTGTTGGTCCTTGCGGTTAGGAGAAATGCTCAATGTGAACACGCTCTCAAGCATGAGTAGAAATCGACTTTCTGATTGCACAGTATACAAAACAGAGTTGTATTGACTGTTCAATAGTCATTGACTGCTGTCTCCTCTTTGCGGGTTGGCGGGGGCAGCCGCCTCAGCAGCAAAAGGCTTTTACAGCCATACCAGTCTCTTGCGGGTCGCATTTTGAACCTTTTTTTGTGGTTCATAAACAGACATCCATAGAAAAGTGGTGATGATCTGGAGCATCTGCAGATTACTTACAGATGCTAATTTTGTTATGATCGGTGGAAAAGTGGAGGTGGATGAAGGTGGGGGGGTTGAAAAGGCAAAGGTGAGAAGAATAGATAAAGAAATGAGGAAGGATGTGGCACAGATGGAAACCTTGCAACAATTTCCTGTTCCTCCCGTTTTTCTTCTTCTTTGGACCTCCTTCTCCTACATCTTGTTGTACCATTTGTTTTTCAAGCAAAACAGAGAGGACAAGTTTCTTCAATTTGTTATTTGTTTATTTCAACTTGGATTAGAACACCCTGAAAGTTTTTCATGGAATTTCTGCCCAGCGGTATTGGGAACAACACACAAACGGCACCGAACCAACGGCCTATGGCCGGCGTTGGAGACCTCCGGTAGTATACAACGTTGTTCCTCTCTCACCAAAGCCAAATAAGCAGCAATCAAAACCTCGCAACAATCATGCGTGGAAGGCCGAGTCACAGGTGGAATCAAGCGGGTCAGCCCCCAGAGGAAAATCCTGAAAATGTTTTGGGTTCTAAAAGTGGATCAGTGTCTGAGAAGACTTTGTATGTTTAGCGCCGGCAGGTTCACATTATGGGGCAAAATGTTCTTCTGGGTCCGTAAAGGATAGAAATAGAACCTAACCGTGTGAAGAGAAGTCAATAAGCCACCTGAGTAGAGTAAGAGCTTTGTTAGGGTTCAAAAACACAATGATTCTCTCCAAACATCTTGACTAAGAAACAATAATGAATTATCTAATGTGTGATATTTTGAGAACTAATCCGCTTTGTCTCGTTTGAAATAATGGAAAGACTTGATTTACATCAACAAAAGAATTGTTTCTCCCCTCATTTCTCTGCTCTGCCTTCACGTCTGATGACAGACGGCATGCTTGGAGGCTCTGATACCCTGATGACAGAGACCTGCTCAACCAAGGCTACTCATTCACTGTGCTTGTGCGCACGCGTGTTTTAAGAGGGGAGTGGGGGTGGTTTGTACATTAGTGTGTTTGCTCCTGCTGTTCTATGACAGTAGTGGTAGTTTCATTGCCCTGGTGGAAGTGGTGCTGGTTAGAGAGCTTAATATTTGGGCTCCAGGGGTGGTGTGCCTGAGCAAGATTGCAATCGGTAGAGAGAGAAACGTATGTGCATTTCATTACATCTTCAAAGGTGACTGGGGTTTGAGGGCCAGAAGTAAGCTAACGTATTCGGATCAGTATATCACTATAGTGTGTTATAAACTACTTGTGTTTACATCGTACTAAAGAAATTGTAAGTATAAGCTGTAATATCGTTTAAATAGATTAAAACACTCTTTAAAGCATTGTGCTGCTGTCATTCGGTTTCAGATATTGTGCACGAGAACTTGAAGATGGGCTCTGATGGGGAGAGCGACCAGGCGTCGGGGACGTCATCAGACGAGGTTCAGTCTCCGACTGGCGTCTGCCTGAGGAACCGCCTCCACCGGAGGATTTCCATGGAGGCGAGACACACACACACACGCTGCTCACTCACCGCAAATAAAAAGCTGACATGGCACTATTCCACTCTTCACCCCCTCTCCTTCTGCTCTGCTCACGTTCTCTGCACTAAGCCTTGTGGAAGATGTGATGGGGGAGTCTCTTTTGCTCCTCTTATCCAGACAAAGTGAAGATATTTGCATTTCCGAACTGCAAAAAAAACCTTTTCAGTTAGCAGTATTCCACAAGCCTCCAGTTGGACCTTTTTAATGTGCTGCTCGTATCTTCTGGACGCAGACCTCCCAACCAAAAAGAGGCTTCTTAAACACCCCGCTGGATCAAAGGCGATAAAATGCCCTCTGGGGCCTACAGGGTACCTCAGACACTGTAACGTCCTCAGGCTCTGCAGATGAAATATGAAAAGGATGGATGGGAGGAAAAAAGAAAACTCATGATCATCAGGGGACCCGTTGGCCAGCATGTTTCTAATTTCACGGGGGGTTTATATGAATTCACTGAGACACTCGGGCTGTAGGCCACAACTCGTTTTTCACGCAACTGTTACATTGTTTCACTCAAGAAAAGCTTCATGAGGTCGCATACCTCTTGTTTCGAAAAAGTAATTGATGCTACATTTTAGCCATTTTGTAGTTTGTTTGTGGCTCCAAATTGAATGCAGACGTTCCAAATAGTCATCTTCATGTTTTATAGATGTGAAAACCGAAAGGGTCGGTGTTTGATCTGAGGATGAGTGTCTCATCCTGGAGGCCTCCTGCCCCCTGCTGGCAGAAGAGCCAATGTGACAGAATCAGCCTTGAAAACACTGTTGATGCTTTGACAAACACACAGTGACCTATTGATTGCATATTTTAATGGTTAAAACCCCAGTGAGCATTTATGTTACTTTCACATCCTGTTTACTCTTTGGAGGTGGTTAGTGTGTGCTACAACAGCTTAATTGTGAATGGTTCTCAGTTTAGGTGGTTGGGTTTTATATGCAGATATTTTCAATAAGCGTGTTTTAAATATTGCAGTCGATTAATTTTTCATTTTTTGAAGCCTAAATTGTAAACAGGGTTAATATTCTGATAATTATTTACCCCTAATGCTATATTCTGTAAACCTTGATGTATAAATGGCCATTTGCTGCTATCCACATTTACTATGTAAGAGTGGCTGTTGACATGGATCTCAAAACCCTCCTCAAATCTGTCCACAAGTCTGGTCCACAGGCCAACACCCAAATATCGCAAATTGGACATGGGACAATTTAGAGACATGCGGCAGAGGTTCAAGATATCTCTACTGAAAAATAATCCCTCCCTTTTCTAGACCCCCCGATATGCCATAAGTAGATGCAGCTTCTTCTGTCTGAGCCACTTTGTCCCAGAGCACAAAGCGCGGCGCTGATGAAATGCGAGCGGCCGACTGGATGGTATTTTTGGAGAGGCCGAAACTTCACAACGCGCACGATGAGCAGACAGATGTGACGTCCTCTCTCGATGTATTTTTACCCTTGTTTCTCTTACAGCTTCTCGGCGTTGTCAGTTTGTTTGCCATCTTATCTGTTCTCCCTTTTGATCCTGGAATAGATGTGATTGTTCATCCGCAGCAAAAAGACACAAGCTCGTTAATGTCGACGTTGTTAGACGGAGAGTACATGCTTAATGTCCACACGTGTGGTTTGTTTTTATTCTGGTCTTGTTCTGTCTCGCTGTTCTGCGTACAGGTGTGTTTGTTTACATTTGTGTGTGTGTGCGCGTGAAGTAGCCTACATTGTCTTATTTGTAGTTAAAACATGCCCCACATCAGACACCAGGCGTGTAGCGGTACATTTTCTCACGTGGGCGGTGATGTGAGCAGATTGCATAAAAGCTACATGCAAACGCTCCGTGCCCAAAGACACAAATGTCAAATCGCTAGCTCGGTTACAAATTCAAAACATTTAAAATGTATTTTTCCCGTGTGTTTCTTTAGGACCTCAACAAGCGCCTGTCGCTGCCGGCCGACATCCGAATCCCTGACGGGTACTTGGAGAAGCTGCAGCTCAGCAGCCCGCACTTCGACCAGCCGCTCAGCCGGCGCTCACGCAGAGCCTCGCTGGTCAGTCTCTTTCTCGCTCTCTGTGTGTTCGTGTCTCTGTGCAAGTCACCATGGTAACTGGGCGCCTTTAGATTGGGATGGATTAATAGGGAGTCACAGGCGCTCCCTTCTGCTTTCAGCCCATCAAAGTAGATCATCAGTCTCAGCTGGGGTGTGATCGTCATTGGTCACAGACTGTCAGGGTCATTGACGCTCTGTATGTCAGGAGTCTGTCGACAGTAAGCTTAAAGAAGTTAGTGTTGGTGCCTAGCGGCTAGCATTTTATCTTGTTTGTATCTAAAGGAATAACAAGACCCTGTTTGTGAGTTGATATGAGCTTTATGCAGATTGAGCATATTGCACAATCAAATGTGGGACTCTAATCGTGTCTACATCCGTGGTTAAAGTGACGCTCTCCACTGTCTCTTCCGCAGTCGGAGATCGGTTTTGGCAAGCTGGAGACGTACATTAAGCTGGACAAACTGGGGGAGGTGAGGAATTCCTGACGTCCCATCTTACTTTATTCAAGAAGGAAATCTGTTTCACAGCCCACGTTAAGTCCATCATATTCAAACCAACGTTGTGTGTTGCGTTCAGGGAACCTACGCCACAGTATTCAAAGGGCGCAGCAAGCTGACGGACAACCTGGTGGCACTGAAGGAGATCCGGCTTGAGCACGAGGAGGGGGCGCCATGCACGGCCATCAGGGAAGGTACTCTGGCTTTCCAAAAATATAATATATTTTTATTTTTACTTGTCTATGAAATGCATTTCAATTGCAGTCAGGGGCCTTTGTGATGAAAGAGTGTTCCATCCTTCTGTCTTTGTCCGCAGTGTCGTTACTGAAGGACCTCAAACACGCCAACATCGTGACGCTTCACGATATCGTCCACACTGACAAAAGCCTCACGCTGGTCTTCGAGTATCTGGTGAGACAGATTCCTTTGCGTTATTTTATTTTTTTTCTGTGGCTAGCAAGAAAAGTTCCAGAATGGGACCTCCCGTGTTCACGTTCTCTTTTGGTTCCTGGCTCAGTCAAATGTTTCCCTGCGATAGTTGGGCGAACTGTACACGCCCGCGACCCTGAACAGGATAAGGTGTACAGTGTTTCCCCTACTAGTATAACAAGGGTGCCCTCCCACCACCCCTAAAAAAAAAGTCTGTAATAAAACGCACAGCAGTTCCGCCCCGACACGTCGCAAATATGTCCTGGAATTTGCCTGACTACAAGCCGCCCCCCCCCCCCCCCCTTTTCTGAAGATTACAACGCAAAGGAAAACAGGGAAATTATGGAAAAAAATTCTAAACTTGGGTTAAACTTAACCCGAGCTCCAATTAAACCACATGACACCGCCCACCATATACGGCCACTTTTAAGAAGTGATTGTTGATTCCAAAATGAGACGGGGATCATATGGGGGAGAGATGGTTGGGTGTCATTCTGTCTGATGGTGTGATTTCTCCCTGTAGGATAAGGACCTGAAGCAGTACATGGATGACTGTGGAAACATAATGAGCATGCACAATGTGAAGGTGCGATTACTCATCTTTTGATTCTGCCTTCTTCACTTATTGCAGATTTAAATTCACATTTACATCCCATCTGAGGAATAAAAAATTACAGAATGTAATGTGTTTATGTATATACCTCTTCCTCTATTAGAGAGTGAAGAACATTTTACACTCTACAGTGATGAACCAAGGGTTTTTCCACGCATCTCTACAGGTTTTCCTGTTCCAGATTTTGCGAGGGCTGTCGTATTGTCATAAGAGGAAAGTTCTCCACAGAGACCTGAAGCCCCAGAACCTCCTCATCAACGAGAAGGGGGAACTCAAACTGGCTGATTTCGGTAAGCGGAACTATGGCAGCAGCTGTTTCCATCAAGGCAGCTGCGAATGATTTCCCGTTGTCAATTTGCAGCAAAATCATGAATTTCAGCTTTAGAATTGTGTAAAGATGCATTTTATTATCCTCAGTTCTGCTCTCTACAGATGCAATGCTTCTCCCCTGTGTAAACAACCTGTGTTGTCTCTTTGCAGGGCTGGCGAGGGCCAAGTCCGTCCCGACCAAAACCTACTCCAACGAGGTGGTGACTCTTTGGTACCGGCCTCCTGATGTCCTGCTGGGATCCTCCGAGTACTCTACACAGATCGACATGTGGTACGAGTCTCGCATCTACTACTGACTACTCCATAAATCACTGGGTTAACACGGAAAAATAATTCCTGTAAAATTCATTATATTACTTGAGCCATTCAAGTACAAACATTTGGAATCAACAGCATCTAATAATATTTTTAAATCTATCCTGTGTGTTTCTGTGTGCGTGCAGGGGTGTTGGCTGCATATTTTATGAGATGGCTGCAGGTCGGCCGCTGTTCCCCGGCTCCACGGTGGAAGACGAGCTGCACCTCATCTTCAGGTTACTGGGTGAGCGACTCCTGAAAACCCGCCCGATTCTCAAGGCATGTCTTCAACCACACCCGGCACAACCCTGTGTATCTGACTGACTGTGATTCTCTGACTACAGGCACGCCAAAGGAGGAGAACTGGCCGGGGATCTCCTCCATCGAAGAGTTTAAATCCCACAACTTCCCCAAATACAAGCCGCAGCCGTTAATCAACCACGCTCCCAGGTACCGCGACCCTGCCTTTCTGGACGTGTGTACAAACTTCTGTATGTTTCTACTTTATGCACCCGTGGCCCGCCCCTTTCGCATGTATACAATAATAGTGTGCGTGTGTGTGTGCGTGTCGCAGGCAGGAAATCCTGTGGAACATTTCACACATCGTTTCCTTCCTCCCATGAGCCCCCACATTCCTGTCCGCTAAATCAGTGCTCTTCCTTTTGTCTCTTGCAGGCTGGACGGCGAAGGCATTGAGCTGCTGCTGGCTTTCCTCAGAGTAAGTGTGTGCTTCCCACATAATACCCAGAATGCAATTCACTCACGGCTGATTTGTCCATTTCACACCTCTGTTTCATTTTAGAATGCTCTCATCTTGAGACACACATTACACTAGGAACGTGTTACATGCCCTTCTAAAAGCCAGGTAAAGCATCTTAGAAATATCTAGTGACGCCACATGCACTAATTTCTCTTACCAGTCTTTTTAAAAGGACTGCATTTTAATTTGGGATAATATTTTGAATCCAGTGTATTCTTGCTGGTTTAACCAATGAAACCTACCCAAGTTTTGACTTATAAACTGTTAACTTTAAACACGGTTTGCTTTCTATTTGTCTCAATCAAGTGCTTTCTTTTTATTTGTTTTATTCTTTTTAAAATTTGAAATATAATTATGCATACATAGCTAGCTCATTCTAATCATTATTACAAACAAACAATAAGTTGTGTTATTCCTAAATTTGCTTCTAAGTGCTTGATTAATTCTTAAAGTGCATGGATGTTCACATGATATGTCACATGACCTCAATGTAAACGTCATGTTACAAGAAAAGGAGAAGATACATGATCACAAGGTAACCCTTTACCATTACAATGTACTTTATTTTGGCAATGAATTCCTTCAGTACTGGTTGTAGACAGCAGGAGGCGCACGTCTGTCGGGTTTCTCCCATAGGCAATGTCTCTGGTGAACATGACTCCAGGTTCCTCTTTCTAATGTGGTCAGGTTTATCTCAGTTCATCTAAGTGAATCATTGATTTTAGACGGCAACAGGAAAAACTGCCAACTTCACAGGAAGGTTGATGTTTCCTGTTTCTGTCTCTGCAGTACGAATCCAAGAAGAGGATTTCAGCTGAAGAGGCCATGAAACATTCCCACTTCCGGCAGCTCGGGACGAGAGTCCACACACTGCCTGAGAGTGAGTGCTGCTATTTGTCCTTCTTGAGCCTTCTCACTGCATTATTTTTTTCTCGTCCCTGCTAATGTCTGTAGACTAAACCTCTCCTCTGCGTTGCAGGTGTATCGATATTCACGTTAAAGGAAGTGCAGCTGCAGAGGGACCCTGGTTACAGGAACTCCTCTTACCCGGAGTCAGGTAAAAAAAATAACAATCCCATTGGATATTTAAATTATAACAAAAATCAGGAAACTTTACACAACATCCGGTAAAATGAGACTGATGAACACGCAACGGCTTCTAGGCGATTGTCTTATTTAATTATAAGACAGTTGGCAGTTAAAGATATTCCAGTGAGGAAGTTTTCAGTTGGGGGATTCACAAGAGACAAACGGGAGCCGTAACTACACAAATAGTCCACACTGAAGCAGCAGGGGCCAAGATATCCTGACCTTCAGTTTTAGTTTCCTATAATGCAACTGAAACAGCGTTTTTAATTGGACCCGTACTTCTTGCAAACCACACATCTCCAATGTGTAATTTAGAGCTTTAGTAAAAGCATTTCAAGTCTCAAGCCAAAACCCAAATAACCCCAATGACATCATTATTATTGTAATTTCAACCATCAAGCTCCCTCCAGTACTAAAGAAGACGTTCTACAACAGACCTTTTAGGGATCCTGATTACAAATTAAATTAGTTTATTACAACACTCCTGAAAGTAGCCGTCCCGTGATGACGTTATTAATGTAAAGCCGAGGCAGTTTGGGTTTTCATTTTTAAAACCGTTTCTTCCTTCTCTCCAGGTAACGGCAAGATCAACAGGAGGCAGAGCATGCTCTTCTAATGTCTGGTGAAGAAGATGGTCGGCTACCCACCTTCATCATCCCTTCCCACCAACCTCTCGCATGAGCCCACCTCCCCTTTGTACCTGCACACACACATAAACATGCACACACACACACCCCTCTGAGCTTGTGACTCTGGGTTAAATCTATTTGGAAACTGTGTTTATTTATTGGGGGGGGCGGGTTGAGGTTGAATTATTTGCTGCTAAACTACTACTGTCTGTATTTAACACACCGTCTGTGTGTGCGCGCGCGCGTGTGTGTGTGTGTGTGTGTGTGTGTATATGCATGATGTGAACTCGAGACGCCATGCACAGTTGAGCAGTCAGAAAGGTGACCATTGTTTTACTCCTGACAACGATTCTCCGGCTTCATTTGAGTTAGAATTCCACTGATGTCGATGTCGGCGCTGTGATCCAAGTTGTTGTTGTCGTGCTTGGAGACCGAAACGCTTCAGCTTCTTTAATGTTCTTTCTTTTTTATAAATATGTATATTGATATCTATATATTTGGAGTTTGTTCTGTTTTTCTTTGAGCTTCCGTGACTGAATTGCACAACATTTCCAAATTTAAAATGGCCGTGACGTGAGATGGTGGGGGCAGAAATAACGCTGCCTCGGGATTCCTCGTCGTTTCACAGTAACATTTGAGTTTACCTTACTTCTAGATGCCCCGGGGTGGTCGGGGAGGGGGAGCACTGAGGGTCAAACAGCAGGACTTTGAGCTGATTATGGCTGCAGTTTTACATTGATGGTTTAAGAAGCACACAGTCCAATCAAACTTGGGTTCTTTTGTTCTTGTTTGACCATCCAGCAATGGGACCAAACAGAGGAGAGGGGGCCCGGGGGCCGGGTGGGTGGCGCCAAGCACAGTTGAGAGAGGAATGTTGGAGCTGAACAGGAAGTGACGTCCCACAGGAAGCCATCAAACCTTCCCTGAGACCTCTCAAAAGACTGCCAGGATTTTAGTGCTTAAAAAAGAAAAGGAAAAAAAAAGATGCAAGCTACACTTTCTCCCTCGGTGCTTTGAGATCTCGCTGCAGTAAGTCTGTTTTTAAATGACACCTTTAATGTGTTGTTTTTGGAATCAGGGGCCGGCGCCCAAAAGTATTAAGTGTCCTCTGTGTCTGTGACCTCTGACTTCTCCAGTGTGGCAGATTTTTCAGAGGGGGGTTCAAAAGCCTGATGGTGTTTTTTTCACTTGGTGTTAGACCACTGCTCTCTGGCATTTGTACACAAGATTAAAAAAAAAATTCAAATTGAAATTTTAGATTCAACTGCCTGCAGTGTTGTTTGCGACTGACAGTGATGCTTACAGATGAAGCCGGTTGAGAATTCTCACTTTTCACTGCACGTTTACTGAAGCAAATAGAAGCTCTCCCAAAAAAAATTCTGAGGTGTCAGCTGGTGTGCTTTTCATCCCTGGTTTGAATTATTTCTGGTGTATTCTCATCTAATCCAGATAATTCCAGCAGCTATGTGCTGGCAAAAAGTGCTTTTCAGGAATGTTTGACATTTTGATTTGAGGGATGCCCCTCTCCTATCTGTACAGTAAGTATGAAGCGAGCTGCAGGAGCCTGCTGGCTCAGTAAGGTCAGCTTATTTGAGCGTGAAGACTTGAACAGAGGCTTACCTGGCTACGTCCGATGGTTACACATCTGCCCTGATTTTTTTTTTTTGCGTTCTAGATTATTTATGCTAAACTGGTCCCGGACCACATGTTGATTTTGCAGACTCCAGTTGTGGTACTTTTTGTCTACCCGGCAAGAAAACAAATCCTTCAAGAACTCCTTCTAAACGGCACACACGGCCGCTTCAACACTCACAGTAGTTTATAAGGAGAGCAGTGCATAAGCTCCTGCACTGAATTACACAAGGAATGCATTGAACATCACAAGTTGAAGAGTGTTAGAAGATCTTGGGGGCGCTTTTCTGTTACTGCAGCTCTGTTGCTCAACATCTACATGAAAATTTCAAATGTATTTTACGGAGTCTGCCGAGATTTAAAGAATTTAAACAGAGTTGCTGATTGGGTAGAACGTGACAGACAAATGTTGGAAGCATGACTAATGGTTAACTCATTAACAGCCTAGAGAATTAATGTATAAACAATTAACTTTATAACAGTTTGCGGCTGACAGTGTAATAATCCTGTAAAAATACTCATCATTTTCCCTAATCAAATCCTTAGGATAAGGATAGGTCCTTTTTCACAATGTTTTAGATTAGATTAGATTTTGTGAGTTCATAATTTAACAACCAGAGCTCGCAACGTACAAATGCAGATGGAAGATACGATTTACATTTCAAATAATCTAACAATCATTGTACTCACAGGAGAAATTGTCATTATATTAATGGTTGACATCCTGTATCACATTCCCCAAATGATTTCTCCATAGGTAGCTCTACAATGAGAAAACATTTTTCTTCTCATGTTGTATTTCACGTGAACTGCATCAGTGTTTGAATGCTTCACTGAAACTTTATCACACTTACAATAAATTGTCTTTTGTTTGTCATTCATGTCGCTTTAATTACTCCTTTTGAATACGGGATTATTCCACCGTTAACTGCAAACTGTCAATCATGAGATTCTTTTTTTAACATGAGCAGCTGTGACAGTTTTCTGCAACCGCTAAATGTTTAATATTGCAAAACTGTAAAACCTTTTCAAATGTATAAATTACCTGAATTCATGTGAACGTGTGAGTGTGTATGTGTGGCTGATGCATGGAAGGCCTGCTGTGTTGTGTATTCGACCTCTGAAACACTGAGGTGTGTGTGTGTGTGTGTGTGTGTGTGTGTGTGTGTGTGTGTGTGTGTGTGTGTGTGTGTGTGTGTGTGTGTGTGTGAGAGACTCTTTTTACTGGAACTATTTATTTCTCATAACCATTTAAAGTAAATTTAATCTGTTTCATAAACCGTCTGTCCAGCAGTTGTTATTTTGGTGGTGAAAGAGTGTTGTTTCCAACTAAAATGTTTATAGTAACTCATTTTATTCCAAAGAAAAAGTAACATTTCTCTCAACAAAACACAAGCAAGTCACTGAGAATACATTTCCATTAATTTCTTTATAAAAATAACCAGGAGCCATTTTACAAAATAAAAGCTTTTGTGCAATTTTGACCTTGAATATCTATTAAAACCTGGTTTTAAGCTTAATACATTTACACAAGTCTTACAATATTGAAGGCACAGCTGGTACAGAGCTGAAAGGTACAGTGCATTTAAAAAAAAGAAAATCGTGACACTATACAGATAAAAACAAATTCACAGCGTCAAATCAAAGCAATGCAGGAGACGAAATGAAAAGACTTCTATGTTTTAACGTGCTGGCTAGCAGGTCTCTGCTAGGAGTCAGAGAGGGACTCATCCTGTGGCCATGCTCAAACCACATCTAGACAAATCTTCATCAAGTTGTAAGAAATTATCCTGATCCGTTGTGTCACTCATAGTACTTTGTTGACAAAGGACAAAAAGCTATTGGTTGTGTGTTAAAATACCTGACAAGGTTTTCCCCAGATTATTGTTGGAATCAGTGGTGTGGATTTTAATGTGGCAGGGGGGGTTAAATAGGGATAACACTAATAAAATTGCAACCAGTCTCTATCACTGAAATTTAAAATGAGATGAGAAATGTAAGGAGGTTTAACCTCCAGTCAACTTTTTGGCATGAAAAGAAGCACCAAACACCCACATGAACACACAGAGAGCGTCTAATGTGAACACTCCTCTCAAGGCCAAAGGTCATCTGGTAAATCAAAACAGGTCTCAGGTGAGACTCCTGTGTGGTTCATCGTCCGAGTCTAAGGCGGATGTGCTCCGCGCAGATCCGGCCTGGCTTGGTTTGGCCCACTTGACTCTTGGAGATTTAGGCTGGCATCAGCACTTGTGGGAGCTGGAGGAGAGCAGCAGAGGAGAGCGAGCATCCATGCTGGGTAACGGCACTGGGATGTTTCCATTCAGCAGAGTGGGGAACTGCAGTGGGGACAAGTGGAGGAGGATTAGAGGGGGAGCCAGATAATGTTTATTTTCCCTAAAGAAAATGTCTGAAGAGAAGCATGAAATGTGTCAGAGTAACTTCCTTTTGGCTGAAGGGACATATACTTTCCTTCTTCAGCCAGATAAGGTGTGAGGAATTATTTGTTATAACTTGTTATTTACATTACATTAAATTTAGCTGACGCTTTTATCCAAAGCGACTTACAATAAGTGCATTTCAACCATAAAGATACAGACTCAAAGGAACCAAGAAACAAGCAATTTCATTAAATAAGCCGATCTACAACTTGTTATAGCTAAGAGCCATTATGCTACAATTTGTTTAATGTATTTAGTCAAGGTATATTCTGAATAGGTGTGTCTTTACTTTGCAAAAGAACACTTACATCCAGGTAAGAAAACAAAGTTGTGACATAGTCATTTTAAAAATAGCTTAAATAGCTTAAATCATGGGGGCTTTACACTGATTGAAAACGTAGGTTAATTTAAAATGTGTATACACAAGTGTATGGATTTATTGATCATTACTATATAGTATTAATTGTATTACATTATTAATGATGTCACCCCCATAATGCTGACACTGTTAAAGTTAGTCAATGCTTTCCTGCAGGGATCTGGGCAATAAGATGAGGTGAATGTGTGTTCTGTTTGAGGTGAATTATTTAACAATCTTGCCAACTGCTCTATTCTGACTCCTGCTACGTTACATTCTGGGCACCCTAGTGGTACACAGCAGCGTGAGGACCGACATTCATTGCAAGGACTAAATTACGGGCCATTAAATGCAGTTTGTCCGTTTTTTTGTTTTTTTTTGTTTTGTACGCCTGTGTATGTCTGTTTAAGAGAGTCGACATGGCTGGGAGGGGCTCCTGACCAACCAGCCGTCTCCTGCTCCCCCTCACCAACAGGAAGTTGCCCCCTCTTTTAGTCCAAACCGCAACGGAAACATCTGTGGCTTATTTTGAAACCCTGGTACGCGGCAAGTCACACATACACCAACAAGCACACAAATGTTGGATAACAAAGCACAAGGTAAGTCTGTAGTGTGAAATGACCGTAACAATAGTGTGCGTATGGGCAAGGGTTTGTTGTAAATAGAGTAAACATAGAGCTGTTTGTATTTTTTACACAGGACAGTTCAAACTGAAACCTAAAAAAAAAAAGTATACTGCCTTAAAGGAGCGAAATAACTGGCTCTTCTCTCATCAATACATTTTATGTGTATATTATATTACGTTACAATATTTAGAAGAACCAGATCAGTTAGCAAACTGACTAACTTAAGAACATCGATCTCTAGTCATTGAAATTGGCAAACAAAAGGAGCTACTGGTCAGACAACTTCGACTGTATGAACTCTTATTCATGTCTTATTTCATGATTTATGAATTCCGTAGCTGGTTTTGTGCGAGGATGAATTTATGTCCTTAGAGGAGAGTTTAAAAACTAAGGTCTTGTCAGATTGTTCAACTGACACTGGAACCTGTTTTCAACGTAGGATTCAGGCAGGTTATGTCCGAATAACTTTGCAACTTCTGGATTGGCCATTCTTTTGTTTGGAGAACATGCGGTCTCTGAGCTCCTCACATATACACAAATACCAAATGTGTGGGGTTGCATATGTGGGTATTACCTGAAAGAGGGGGCCATGGCTCTGCAGCTGTGCAGGGCTGAGGGGTCCCACTGGACTCAGGCTGGACCAGAAATGGATATTGGAGAGCAGAGAGCTCGGAGTGAGCAGCAGACCGGACGGAGTCTACATTGACATAAAGTGAAATGTAGAATAAATACACCACGGTGGAAATGTTTTGGTGTTTATTCTGGCTACAAGTGTTGGAGATCTGCTCATCAAAGCCAAGTCTGCCCTCTAGTGAACTCATGCCTCCCGGACGGACCAACTTGGCAGACTGACCACGCAGGTCCGGAAGCTCCACTCATACCCAATTCATGACATCTATTCTTCCTTCTATCTCTTTAAATTGGACTACGGCTTCTTTCGGTTTTTGTCGCAGGAACATAGGACTTCTATCAACGCTAGTAAGCGGGAACAACAGTTTCCTCAATTGTCATATTTCCACCGCAAAGGAGACGTGCCAATGAAGTTGTTGTGTTCTCCAAACAAAAAGCTCTGCTTCATTCGTTTTAGGTCAATATTTTTATGCCTTTTGTTCTAAGCCAAGTCAATCTTTGAAAAGGCGCCCTGGTGGCGTCTATCATAACCGTTGCAACTTATGCCCCATGTCTTTCTCATCCTCTTCCATCTCATCTATCAGCTTTCTAATAAAGCCATCAAATGAGCTGAAGAAATATATTTTCGTTCTCAAAAGCTTCCTGTGAACAGATACCAGGCTGTGCTTTGGCAATATCTTTTTCCCGGCTGTACCTCAAATTCCCTTTGTTTGACCATTTTTTTCTGCTGATCTAAAACAGGCGTATGAGCCTTGGTAAGCTGCCTCCTCAGGACCAGCTTATACTTTGTTTTTTAGTGAGTGATCTGTTTTTTTTATTTTTACCAGCCAGAACAAGCTCACGGCGTGACTTGCAAAATAACCGTTTACCCCCAAAAGACCAGAAATCACTGTAATCTGACAACAGGGATGGCTGTCCTTCGGGGACTTTTAAAGGTAGGAACTAAAAGTCTGTCCAGGGGAAAGTGGATCGGGGGCTGTGGATACCAACAGCTCAGGTGTGCCTTGGAAATACATAATTATACAAAATGTTCAGTCTTGAGGGAACTGTTTAGCGTACACTTTTACTTTCCATCAATTAAGTACTGTACACTCAGCGGCATATCAGTGCTCCGTCTGGATAAAGGCGTCAGCTAAATGCCTGAATGTAGTCAACTGTCCTGGCGAGTGTGCTGCTGCCAGTGAATCAGGAGCTACAGAAACATATGGCTTCACTTATGAACCTCCTCCCTCCCTGGCCTCCTCCCCTGTTTCCGCTCACCTCTTTCCATCTCCCTGTCTACGGGCTTCATTTTCTTCCCCCCTCCCTACTATGTGTTATATTCCACGTTGTACCTGTGTGGTGAGGAAGGCAGGGGTCAGGGAGCCTGAAGGCAGCGCCGGGCTGTTGAGAGCAATGGAGACGAGGTCGCTTCCTGTCAGGAGAAGCGAGGAGGCGGAGATTTCCAAGCCTTTGGGTTTCCTGCTTTTCAAAGGCCCGCTATTGGCAAATCTCCCGCTCTCCTGGGTCGCCTGTGACCTCTCTCTCTCCCTCTGACCAGATGAGAGGTTTAGAGGTTGGGCACTGTGCTCTAACTCATTAGTCTCCGAGCCGTGGCCCCGCCCCCTCCACAGGGCTTGTGCCGGGCTCTGCGGCGGGGAGGAGGACGAGCAGGAGGAAGAGCGGGCCTGCACCGGTGACGGTCTGGAGGAATGGGAGGTCTCAGCCGAGGATGGTGGTGGGGTGGGGGGCAGGGAGGAGTGCCCACGGTTGGTTACGAATCGGATGACGGAGGAGCTGTCGCCGTAGTGATCGGATCTGGGCTCCGTCTTGATCGGCCGATGCTGCTCCATGTGGGGCCGCAGGGAGCCGCCGGCGAAGGGGGAGTACAGGCCGGAGTGGAGGTATTGGTTTCTCCCGTCGTCGTCGTCAGCCTCGGGCTCTGACGTTGCGCCCCCACCTTCCTCGCTGCTGCGGCCCGACTCGACCACCGCGGGGTCCATCTTCAGGATCTCAGGGAACGACACAAACTTGTAGACAAACTTCTGGCCGATCACCTTCTTGATGATGTTCTGCAGAACAAACGAGACGTGATTTGATTACTTTTTCAAGCCTCCTTTTTTGTGTGTTGATTTCAATTGGGTTTCATGAGGACATGAATCCCATCATGAAACCAATCAGGTGGTTTGACAATGAATAGTCTAGAACTGTATACGTTGCGTACTTTGTCGTAGTAGTAGCGCAGAGCTCTGCTCAGCTTATCATAGTTCATGTTGGTCTTGTTCTTACGCAGCCCCCAAAGCTTGGCCACCTCTTCTGACTTCAGCAGCTTGAACTCGCCATCGTTGGACGTCCAGCAGATGAGATGTTTGTGGCTTTGGTCAATCAGCAGTTGCAGCAGGAACTGCCAGAGTGTGATGGAGCTCTCCATGACGGGATGACACCAGAGACACGGGCGATCTACAGAGGAGAATCCAGGCTTAGAGAAATAAAACCAACCAGGCATTGCTTTGTACTATAAAGACGATGGAACAGAATTCTGTTGGGAACCAGATGGATTGCTTTACAGCCTTGTTATATATCCCCTGTTGTTATAAATGTGTTAGCAATCAAATGTCCATTTGCATGTCCAACATACCCTAAGCATTCATTTGACAAAGTTAACGCCTAAGTCTTTATGGGAAATAGCTCAATGCTGGCTCATGGTCACTTTGGCTGTCTGCTGTTTGGTGCTGGGCAAACAGCATTCAGAAAGTCTCAATTATTTCAATTGTTGAACAGCCGTAGTGAACTGGTTAGAAAAGAGACGTGAGACTCAAATGAAACAAGAAAGTTGTGGGACGTAAGAAGAACCAAATAATAAGTTGGCCAAAGGCTAAATCCCTCCGTTGGCTGAGGTTAGATGATCACCAGAGTTAGGTGTTGATCATTATGGATTTTTCCACAAGCGACACCTTTTCCAATTATTAAACATACAAATATTGATCAGTGCAGCTTCTAACCGTTACACTAAAGCCCTTAAAATGGTCTTACATTTTTGGGGTTTTTAAATTCAAGCAATCATTCACATAAAGTGAAGGAAAGAAAGAGAGTAAGGAGGGTAGATGGGTAGCGTTGAGAAGAAGGAGAAGCGCGAGGAGGAACTGTTTCCGGATCCTTCCTCCGGCGTAAACTCCACAAAGGAACATAAGCATAAACAAAGCTGTCCACCACCACCTATCCTCTCACCGTGGACTCCCTGTCTCACGCTAAGACAGCAGACAATAACACAAACTAACATGTATACAAACACCGACCTTGCTGTGAGTTATAAAATGCTTTGATTTGAGACATATACGTAATCTATACTTTGCATACATGAGCTCCCGCTATTTATCGTCATGGCATCCTTTGGCTGCCTTCCAAAGCTGTAGTAAATACTAGTATGAGTGATGCTCAGGGTTACGTTTGATGCCTGTGCCTCACTTCCGTAGCCCATTTAGATGTTGGAAAGAACCATTTGTCATTTGTGGAAAGATGAGTGACAATTTAAAAGAACATTTATTGTGTTTATCTGTGTCCATATCAAGGTTAAAATTCGATTGCGGTGATCGTTGAATATGCTTGAACTGACGTTTACTCATAAAAATTAAGTTTTATTTAAAGGGAGAATGTAAAGTTGTGTTTTCATACAATAAAAACACTTTGCTAACAATTGAGAAGCGTTTTGGTTTGCAGCCCTCTTTACACACTTAAAAGTATAATTTTGTCGGCTGTACTTCTTTTACATTATTTTTCCTTTGTTTGCTCATACTGTCGTACTGTTTTAGTGTGTGTGTGTGTGTGTGTGTGGGTGTGGGGAGAGACAGAGACAAAAAGCGAGGGCCAGACTTCCGGATGTTTCCATGGTGATAAAGCAGGATGTGGTCAGTGACCTTCTGCCAAGACTAGCACGAGTCTAAGCGGCGCGTTTACCTTGAAGCCACCGACTGTCTCTGAGCATCTTCCTGTTTGTCTGTTTCTCGGCCTCCTTTGCTGTCGCTCTTTTTTTTCCCCCTCCCTCTGTCTTTCTCAATTCAATCAATTTACGAGCTGCTTCATTAGCAGGAAATATAGAACTACTTACTGCCAAAAGCAAACCCTTCAAATACGTCATTGGAACCAGATTTAATTTGCAACCATGACAATATCACAAATCCCCATGGCAACAACATCTGCCTCGAACATTGCCCCCCCAGAAGTGAGGGTTACTCTACCCACCTCCATAACCGACCACTAATTCAACATGAAAATACAGCACGGATCCCTGTTTCTCCCTCTGTCTCTCTTACAGGAAACCACCCAGCAGAGAGGGGAAAGTGTGTGTGCTGCGAACAATGACCCGTCGCCAGGAACACACACAAAAGCATATCCCTGCTTCCTTTTTCCTGCATGGGTGTGTGTGTGTGTTTGTGTTAAGTGATGGAAGAACTGTAGTGCTGTCTGTCTAAACGAGGGCTTCCTGTCATTCAGCTTTAGGGGGCGTCTTCCCGGGGAAAGGCCTTCCTTCTCTGCAAGGTGGGACGTCCTGTCACTGGGAACCGCCGGGAACATACACAAACACATGCACATGCGCGCGCACACACACACACGTATGCTTCTTTTTTAGAGAAAAAATTCAACTCGCACAGGTTCAAAACCTTAACTGTTCGCCTTGACGTTTTGCTCTGAACAAATCTGGAGTTCTGCGTCTCCCGTAGTAAGTGTCTATTAACACGTTTCTGATACATGCATAAACATTATCCTTCCTAAAACGTTAATCCCTCTGATATACACTCAAGTGCAACTAGGAAACTCAATAAAAGACAAACCAAAAAAAAACCACTCGACTCTCTCTAGTTATTTCTTATTTTTGGAGCGGGGTTTGTGTGTGCGCGCGCGCGGAGGAGAAGGGGGGGGGGGGATCTGCTGGAACTCAAATGGTTCTTTGTTTTGCCCCAGTGACTTATTTTCAAGATGTTGTCTGCTGCCAGCTTCAATCCGGAAGCGCACGGCAATTAGTCTCCGAGGTCCAGACTAACCAGAAAGTCTACAGCCAGACTTTTAAAGGAGCCACGGCTAATTTTTTGGAACAGTGACCTCTTTTATTCCCCCCCCCCCCCCGTCCGCCGCCCACTAAATTAGAAAGCTACACTTTGGGGAACTTTACGCATGCGTCTGTGCCAAACCCGGAGGACGCATGGCTTTAACACTTTTTTTTCACGCACTGGTTCAACGCTTATTACGCACAGGTTTAATACGTGTCGCGCCGCATCGACGTGCTTTTGAAGTTGCGAACCTGATCGCTTTTCATAGAATACGAAAAGAGTAAATGGAAGTGCGCTTCTGTATCCCCGTTGCGCACGAAAGCGCACACAGTAAATGGGTGAAGTATTAGTAAACGTGTACCTACCCAGCTGTGGACGGCCGCTCGCTCCTCTGCTCCTATGGCCGTGTGCGAGGCGTGTGTTCGTGTCTTAGAGCGCTGTGTGCGAGTTGTGTCGGGGATCCATGCCGCTGCCGTCTGAAAGCGGATCTGCAGCTTTTCCCTGCCCTGCCTCAGAGCAGGAAGTCGAGACACGCAGACGGAGAACCGGCGCACTTCCTCTGGCGTAGTATTCCCGTCTGTGTAAACACACGCACGCGCGCGCTCACACGCACGCACCCACACAGAGGGGGAGAGAGAGAGAGCGAGAGAAAGAGAAATATTCCCGTAAATACACACTTTTTCCGGAACGCTCATACACCTTTTCTCGTGCAGTTAAATCACCTACAGGTAGTCATTTTCTTCCCCATCCTCTCTATTTAATTCCCTTTCTCTTTCTCTCTCAAACACACGCACAGACGTACACGCACAATAGACGTTTGTAATTCTGACTCACTCAGCGCTGAGCCGAATGACAACTGACGTCACCATCTTCCTGCTCACCGGGAGGGGTTCCTGTTCCTTCGCACACGCGCACACGCACACACTCGAACACAGGCACACCGCACACAATCGTATCTATTTTTGTAACTTATTTTTTATATGCTTATTTTATTCTCCCTCCTTTTTCACTTTATTTTTTATGACAATTTTTTTCTTGCTTTGATTATCATACATTTTTCAAACTGGATGAAATGTTGTCATACAATCTGAAACATCTAATTGGTTGCGATATTATTATACACACGCGCCAAAAAAAACCCTAATATACCAGCCGGTGATTAAATATCCAGGGTCTCAGTATCACAAAGTGAGGTTTTTTAACGACAAAATCTAGTAAAGCATCTGACAATTATGCTCTCAAACAATCCTACAATGTGACAAACAGTGGAATTATTCGTTACCGGACAAAGAAATAAATTGGCTCGGTTACTGTAAAATTGTTATACAGGGTGTATAAGAATTTTAGTAATTAATTTACACAGAAGTGCCCTCAGTTTGATAAAGAATGTGTTAAGTCAGATCCGTTTCAAACAACTCTTCACTATGGACTAATTATCATGTTATAATGTGTCTATAAAATGTTCTAATCAACAAGAAAACGTTCCCTCTTTAAGAGGGCCCTGAGAGACAGATTTAATTAAAGCTGCATTAAAGTAGTTGTTTGGACCCTTGCACATGGACCCACGGGGAATGTACCTGTCAGACTTGATGCTGCATACACAAGTTTAGACAAGTCATTGTGTACCAGCAGAGTAGCCAGATCATTTTGTCTGGTATTAAGTCTTGAAAATTTTGAGTGTATCTAGAAATATAATCATAATTGTAAGTCAGTAAAGAAACAAGTTTATGTGTGTGTGAATAAGACGTTGTGTTTGTAACATGACAGACTGTTATTAATTGCAAGTCTCAAAACCGACTGCTTGTGGCAGCTCGGAAAATAACTACTAGTGATTCAAAGTGATAAAGTGTGATAATGTTGAAGTAAAATGTAATGTAATTGACAAATGAGATATAAATAAAAAAAGTATATGTAACAATTTCCATTGAAAAAAAGGGAAAATGTATTGGGTCAAAAAGTGTCATGGAAAACAAATTTTTAAAAATGGTGAAGAATGTCACAGAAAGTAAAGCCAAAATATATTAGCTTTAAATGTCATTGAAAAAGTAGTGAAAACATTCAGTGCAAAAAGTAATGGAAAACAAATCTATATAGTCGTATTTTGCCAACTTTATTTTGATACCTAGTAAACGAGACCGAGTGAGATGTTGTCTCAACCTCTCTGATTCCATTTCCTCAGGCCTCTTTCGCCCCGCCCACTTCTTTGAAACGTCAACAGCGGCAAACTTGAGGCTCCCTAATCGGGAAAATGACCACTTGTGCAGAGGAGCCGCAATGGAGAAAAGTTCACTCCGTCTCCGGCGTGGTACCGCGGTCCAGACACGGACACCGAGCTGCTGCAATACGGGAACTGATTGTTGTGTTTGGTGGTGGAAATGAAGGAATATCCGAGGACCTCCATGTTTACAACACTGGTAAGCTAGCGCTAGCCTCCCGACTAGCGCGTTAGCGGCTAATGTTTTTAGCATGAGCGGGGGTCAAAAATAACCAACCCGCCTTGAGCCGTTAGTTTTAGTGGTTCATTTGCTGGGTCTTTGCCAATGTTAGCACGTTTTACAGGTTCTTTGGATAAACTAGACGCTAACTTAAACTGATGTAACGTAAGTTGAATCAGTAACGTTACGAATAACCCCCCAAATCGTAACTTTACTCTTTGTTCTGCCATCACGGAATAAAATAGTAGCGATTTTTTGTTTTTATTTTTTGTTTTATATAGCCTTTATCATGGAGGGTCTGAGTGTACTGTTGCCAAAGCTTGAGACGGGTTTGTATTTCGTGTAACGTTGCACAGTGAGTCTTGTGCTTTTTGTGTATGACGTGACAGCATTACGTGGTTTTATCTAAACCAGATTACATGGAGACGTTATGCAACAGAGTCCAATAATTTTACCACTATTAGTATTAAATGTTCTATGCAGGTTTTCCGGTTATGTTTTGTGTAATATTGATTTTGCCAATGTATTAAACAAGGGTTTATTTGTGAGGGTTATTGTTTATATTCTGTCTGATACATTGACTGACATCTGCTCATTTCCACAGTCTCTAAGCAGTGGTTTCTGCCCGCGGTGAGGGGTGACATCCCACCCGGCTGTGCCGCCCATGGCTTTGTCTGTGAAGGCACCCGAATACTGGTCTTTGGCGGCATGGTTGAGTTTGGGAAATATACCAACAGCCTCTATGAACTTCAGGTAATGCCGTCGAGCTCTTGCAATTCAAACCCCAATTTCGGTAGTAAAGATCACTCTCACGTGTCCACCGTGGTCCCCCGTGGCTTTAGGCAAGTCGCTGGCTGTGGAAGAAGCTGAAGCCCAGAGCCCCCCGGAATGGCTTTCCTCCCTGCCCTCGGATCGGACACAGCTTCACTCTCGTGGGTAACAAGTGTTACCTGTTTGGAGGCCTGGCCAACGACAGTGAAGACCCCAATGGCAATATAACAAGGTACTTTATCAATGCACACAAGGGGGGGGCAAATTGAGTCCATCCTCAAACCAGCTGGCAGTCATTTTTAGGGGCTTCTTAGTGACAGCCTATCTAGGAAGCCCTGTGCCTTTACAGGTTAAATTAGGACGGCAGCTAATGATCATTTCTGTTATTAATAAATCTGGTGATTATGTTTCTGATTGATTGATTTCATTTATGAACCATAAAGACCCAAAGATATTAATTTACAATGATATATGACAGTCTCAGAAAACCCTCTCTTGTGAGAAGTTAGAACTATAGATAGTTTTCTTCAAAATTAGTTTTTGCATTATGAGTGAAATGATTGATCGATCATCACAGTTGTTAATTATTTTACTTTGAATCAATTCACCTTTTCAGCTCCAGTTGCAATTAAATCTTTTTAAATTAGGGGTTGACTCCAGAAGGTGCCTCGAGTGACATTTGATAGTTAACCTCTATGAAGATAGATTCATAAATGAGTTGGGTCTTTTCCCGTCCTAGATACATGGGGGACTTCTATGAGCTAGAGCTGCAGTCGCTATCGGGGGCGAGAGGCTGGAGCATCCCGGAGACAAAGGGCGGTGGTCCCTCGGCGCGGGAGTCCCACACCTCGGTTGCCTACACTGGCCTCGGCTCCCAGAAGCTCTACATCTTTGGAGGGATGCAAGGACGGCGGTTAGGCGACCTCTGGCAGATCGACCTCGGTACGGTGTCTTGTTGTTGACTGATTATATGTTATACCTCAAGTAAATTTTAGAAAGGAAATGGAAACATTTGACATCCGTTAGTTGGTGCTGTGCTTTGAATAAAATACAAGATTCTAGTGGGATAGGGTTATTTGCCTATTTGCAAATTGTTGTCCTTTTCCTTTCTTCAGACACAATGGTTTGGTCGAGTGCTGTAACCAGGGGCTCCATGCCGCTTCCCAGAAGCCTTCACTCCGCCAGTGTCATTGGAAACAAGTGGGAGATCTGTCCGCATCAGTGTCATACCTCTGTCATAGGAGATGTCTCGTGTGGGACACCTTAGCTGACAAACTACTATGTCCTTCTGTCCGCAGGATGTATGTTTTCGGTGGCTGGATTCCGGTTCCAGGGTCAAACAAACAAAATGCTTCAGGAACTGAATCGATCTGCAGTGACTCTTTAAGTGTGCTAAACTTAGGTCAGTACGTGTCTGTATAACTGTCCCATGCTGTGGTCACGGGTTTTCATGCAGGGTGAACCCACGGAGAACATATTTGTTCGGTCAGTTAAACATGAAGTTATGTCAACTGTTTTTTAACTTAGAACTTTCAAAGCTTTCAATAGAAATAACAAAAAAACAATTCATAAATCTAGATGAATCACTTAAAAGTTTGACTAAATCTTACGAGTCATTACTTTGTTTAATAGTTGTTTTGTGTTATTAGAGACGTAGGCCGATAACTCTAAAGTGCCAGTCAGGCATTTAAATATTATGTATGATTAATTGTATTAAAAAAAGTCAGGATTTTTTCCAAACCACGGTCTTTTAGGGACACGGTGGTTGTCCTCTGTAGACTCCGCAGGGTCGATGTTGAGATGGAAGTAGCCTATCAGTCCTAAAGTGCTCCGTTTGCCACTTATCCTCCTTCTGTTTGACGCATGGAGTAAATCATCTGCACAGTTCTCCGCTGTATGGTGCACCTCTGTTTGTTTTACTTCCAATGCAAAAAATATCAAATACACTGAGCTGTGGCACCCAGGTATTTGTCATTGCTGACTGACGTCCAGTAAGGGCGACGCTGGCAGCTTGCTCGAGGAGCTGAATACAAGGAATGTACGCGAGACCCAATGGTGCCCTTCAACGGTCAACTGTGTCCCCTGAAGCAATTTGAATCACCTCAGTCTGCCCACCGCCCTCAATTACGTTAATGAAGCGACAGTCACCGGCAACGCAAACAGTCAAAGCTTTGGTCACCTTCCCTCCACCGACTGGTCTGCTGATTTTCCTAGAGAAGTCGTGGAGTGTGCGTCGGCGACCATTTAACCTGGGACTGCTTTCTGTCGCGTGCTTTGCATTAAAGTGGTGACTTAAAGACAAGCTGCTTCTGTGATAAAGCTGAATTCAGCTGTGTGCTACCGGTACATACAACTTTAGTTTTGCCGATTTGTTCCGTCATTTTGCCTCCTAAATAGAAACTTTTCCGCTCATCTCTCTCCGTCTTCATCTACCGCCTCGGTGACACACTAGGTCACGGGAAGTAAAAATTAGTTTAAAATATTTTATCACATTAATCTCGGTCACAATAATCTCATAGATTAACGCGTTCATTTTGACAGCCCTACTTCTAACCAGTGTTTAAGGGGGACCTTAAAGCTGTGATGCATTTTGTTCCTTATTAATCCCACGAGGCCAGCAAGTTCACTTCTGCCCTGCTTTCCTGTCACAGACACGATGTGCTGGCAAAAGCTGTGCCCGGAGCAGCAAGACCATACTGGGTCCCAGCTGCCGGGCCAGGGACCCCAGAGCGACGATCCGTACGCCTGTCGGCCCAAAGCCAGGGCCGGACACTGCGCCGCCGCCGTCGGGTCCAGGCTCTATATCTGGAGCGGCCGTGACGGATACCGCCGCAGCTGGAACTACCAGGTCTGCTGCAAGGACCTCTGGTACCTGGAGACAGGTGAGGGCTTTTTTTGATTGCTGTACTTTTCTAGAGCAAAATATAAGAAAATTAAAAGGCTACAGTTGCTCAATTGATTCTTTATTTCCATCCCCCAGATCGACCAGCCACCCCAGAGGCCCCCTTACTCATCAAATCCACAGTCAGCATGCTCCATGTGGCATGGCGGCCCCTGGCGGCAGCAGACTGCTACGTCCTTCAGATCCAGCCCGCGCCTCCACCAGCCAAACCAGCCGACCCCACTGGAGCGGGTGGACTGGACTCGAGAGGGAAAGATTATGCGGGTATCCTGAGTTTATATATCCAGACAACTTCTCACTGGGCCTCATGACACAGCAACAAATTACATTACATTACATGTCATTTAGCTGACGCTTTTGTCCAAAGCGACTTACAATAAGTGCATTCAACCATAGGGTACAAACTCAGAAGAACAAGAAACAAGAAAGTGGATCTTCCTCTAATAAGCCAATTTACAATTTGCTATAGATGAGTGGCGCTATAAGTACAATTTAAGTGCTACAATTTGTTAGTCTTTTAGTCGAGGTAGAGTCTGAAGAGGTGTGTCTTTAGTTAGCGGTGGAAGATGTGAAGGCTCTCTGCGGTCCTGGTGTCTTCAGAGAGCTCGTTCCACCATTTCGGAGCAAGGACAGCAAAGAGTCGTGATCTAGTCGAGTGTTTTGCTCTCAGTGAGGGAGGAACAAGCAGTTTTGCAGATGCAGAGTGTGCGGGTCAGGATGTAGGGTTTGACCATGTCCTGGATGTAAGCTGGACCTACAGCTTACATCATCATTCACAGCATGGTACGTGAGCACCAATGTTTTGAACTGGATGCGGGCAGCCACCGGTAGCCAGTGAAGAGAGCAAATGACATGACCGGAACAAATTTACTCCCTTTAAAATCTGCCTTCTAAGGAGATTTGTGGCACTGTGACATTTGTCCTTCTCTCCTTTCTCAGGTGTCCAGTGTCTTCACCCTCAAACGGGAGGAACCACTAATCTAGAAGCAAAAGCATCAGGCGAGGTAGATGTGACTTACTCAACAAAGTGTTTGATTATTACATTTAGTACCGCACCCCTGTATCGTCATTAGATATGCTGAGTAGTATATCTGATGTATGTCGGTACTTTTCACTTATACTGAACTTGAACACAGAGCGTTTCCACTGAGGATATTTAGTGTTTTCCTAAAGCAGCCTGCTACTACTACTGAATTTTTCCATATTAGATCTACATGTGAGTGTCCATCCTGAGCCCTCCCCTCTACAGCCCTATCAACCCCTGATTTAGATATTACTCCGCTTGGTCGACAAAAGACTGAATGAGTCAAATCTGTATTTGACTTTATTTTACTGACAGGGGCCTGTGGGTATGATCTCAACATTGCTTAGCATCCACTTGTATCTAAGACCATTAGTCCATATGATATTTCTGTTAAATGTATTATGAATGTTATTATATTCACCGCTGTTTCTTGTGCGTTGACCTCCCCCCTGGATTTCAGGTTTCAGCAGAGCAGCAAACCCTGACAGAATTGACTAACGACTCCGCAGAGACCAAAGCGCGAGGAGAGCCGAGCGCTGGAAGGGAGACAGAGAGGCAACCTGACCCGCAACGCCGTGGTGCGTTGTGTTGTCTCTTGACTATATGCTGGAGGATTTCTGTGCTTCCGCAAATGTAATTTTCAGCTGCAGTAGGCATGTCTAAGTGAAGACAGCTGCATCACTAAATGTATTCTCCTAGTTATTCCCCACACTGCCCTACTCGTCAAACGAGATTTGTCTCCTCGCTCCAGTTTCCGAGCTTTGGTCCTTTGACCTGTGTGTGTGTGTGTGTTGGTTGTAGGTGCTGGACAGGACACCTCAGCAACAGAGGTCAGCGGTTCAGCTCAGCAACAGCCAGGTGACCATGATGCTCAAACGTCAGCAATGACAGACTGCATGCTCGTGTTAAGTGAAATTTACTGTGAACTTTTCTTTTCACAGAGTCGCAAACTGTTTCTGGTGACAAGACCACGGACGTCTGCGCCCCTAAACATCAGGTCAGATTAGGGTCGGGCAATCTGGTGCTTGAAAAATACCTCTATATTTGCGGCTATATATCGATATTTTCGCATCTTCTCGAAACTAGCAGAATCCAGACGAAGCTGTGTGGTTCGATGTCGGTGTGTTCAAAGTCCTCTTCTCTGAGGTCAGCCACTACTTTCTACTCGCCGACAGTGACCAGGCAACGGGGGCCGTCACCAGCCGGCTGCCAAACACTAAAGAGGTAAAAAAAAGAAACGCCTGTGCAGTGATGCATAGCGGGTATCGATTGGGTCTCCATGAAACTACCGGTTTCTTCTCACCCACAGAGAAAGCTCCCGGGGCCCCAGGACTATCAGAGCAGAAAGAAGCAGGAGCTGGCTGCGGGTCAGACCTACAGGTTCAGAGTGGCAGGCATCAACTTCTTTGGCCAGGGAGACTTCAGCGCTGTCAGTGAGTTTAAGACATGCCAACCCGGCTTCCCCGGAGCGCCCTCTGCTGTCAAGATTACCAAGGTGACTTTCAAAAAGAATATGCCGACTGAAAAGCTGTTGATGAAATAAGAAAGATCTGCTGTTTCCTTCACGTTCAGCCTAATAAATCACAAATTTCCCCTTGGGGATTAATAAAGTTTCTATCTTTCTATCTATCTATAATCCTCAGGCCAATGATTCTGTCCACATCACATGGGAGGCTCCTTGCTCTTCGTCAGGCCGGATCTTGGAGTACTCCATGTACATGGCGGTAAGGAAGAGCCGCTCCACCAGCTCGGAGCGTCTGGCTCAGATGGCCTTCGTCCGGATCTACCGCGGCACCAAGACGTCCTGCTCGGTTGGCTCCGCCCACCTGGACAATGCCCAAATTGACTTCTCGGCCTCCAACCGGCCAGCAGTGGTGTTCCGCATAGCTGCAAAGAATGAGCAGGGCTACGGACCAGCGACACAGATCCGTTGGATCCAAGGTGGTGGAGTGTTTTCAGTTCCTGATCAATTTTTATAGATAATACTTCGATTGATGTTGTTGATTGCAACTTGACTGAACCTCCTCTTTCTGTCTCTAGATTTCAGTAAACTGCGAGGGTCCACATCCAAAGCCGATGGCTATGCTGAAGTCGACCTGGATGCTGCGGACAGGTAACCACGGTGACCCGACATGCAATGTTTGATTTGTCACATTGTGAGAAAGAAAATCCAACAGCATGAGATTATAAAGAGATTATAAGGATGGTTGTGATTGTTTACGGTTCTACTACGGGACCAAAACTATTTACAATATTTCATGAGTTCTGTTAATTTTCCCTATCTAGGATTTTTATTGAGGGGTCTGGCTTTTTCCTTCTTTGTTGCAGCTCCAGTTGAAATAGTTTGGATCAATGACAACGTGTTTTGGAGAAGACGATGTTTGTACTCAGGAAGTTGGCAAAGTACCCCACTCAGACGTTGTATATTTCCCTAGATAATTTTGTTAATTTATTTTTTTTAATGTATTATTACATTGTACATAGATTTTCACCATTTTTACCATGTGCTGTTTTAAACAATTGGTTTGTTGAGTAATAATAAGTAATATGCAACTACAAGAAGAATTTACTATATCTGCCACAAATGCTTTATAAAGTATGTGATGGTTTTGATTAAAACACAGATGTTCGATGTTTTCAGGACCAGGACATCAGAAGGAAAATATCTTTCTGCATTGGACCAATTTTACAATCCAAGTTACACAGCAAGGATATAAAATACCAGTTATGTCTGCTGTGGAATGCTATTATTGTTTTACAATCAGATCCTTCAGGTTTGGTTTAAACCTGAAATCTTTGTTAATGTGTTTTGTCAATGTACACATTTGTTAGTACAAACAATTTAACTATCAATTACATTGCTGCGTCACTTTTATTTGTGTATGAGTTGTAGCATTACTTTTGGACTACTTCTCTCTCACACACACAGTATCTGTAATATAAAATAAAATGTGATCTGGAGAGAGGAAGTTTTTTTTTTAAGGCGCCTCATATTTGCATATTTAACAGTTCGCTACGAAGGGGTGGAGCAAGCAGCAGTGCTCAAAATATAATTCACATATGTTTTAATATAAAATGAATATAGTAAATAGGTCAGTAGGGGGATTTTTTTTACTTCACTTTAAAAAAATCCCCAAAGTTTAGTGTGCGTATCATGAGTTCATTTACTGCAATATTCCCATATTGAATGAAAAATACCATTGGTTTAAGACTGCGGTCAACTCAGCCGACGCTTGAATTATAGTGCACGTATATGCTGATATTTACGGTATTGAACAAGTAACCCGAAAAGTAACCGGAATAAAAGCTGTTTAATCAAATATTCTGGACACTGACTGAAGTATGTGTGTTCAGGACCATTCTGACTACTATTGTACAAAAAAGGAATACTTTTACTGTACAAAGTTAGATAATTATCCTATATTTAGTTTTCAGTTCAAAAGGACCATTTCTCAAGTTTGAACCGCAATAAAAATACTTTTCTCAATAATTCAAGTCAAAGACTAACACATGTATTAAGGACATATCTGACTACTATTGTAAGAAAAGTGAAATATTTTTACTGTACAGATTTGGAGACTTCTTCAAAGTAAAAGCCCTATAATTGCATGTTCAAAAATACCATATCTCCATATTCGAAATGCAATAAAAACATAATTCTCAATAATTCCAGGCCAGGACCAGTGTACTCATGTTAAGGACCTCTCTGACTACTACCATAATGAATATCAAGTATTTTTACTGTACAGATTTGGAGATTTCTCCAAAGTAAACACCCTATAATTGCACGTTCAAACAGACCATATCTCCATTGTTTAAATACAATAAAAACAGATTTATCAATAGTTCCAAGGCAAGACAAATGTAGCTGTGTTAAGGACCTCTCTGACTACTACCATGCTGAATTTGAAACATTTTTACTGAACAGATTTGGTACAGGAAAAACACCATTTCTCCAAACATGGAGAAATGGTGTTTTTGAATTTGCAAAAATAGGGCTTTCACTTTTACAGAAATCTCCAAATCTGTACAGTAAAAATACTTGATATTCAGCATGGTAGTAGTCAGAGAGGTCCGTAACACAGGTACATTGATCTTGGCCTGGAACTATTGGGAAATCTGTTTTTATTGTAGCTCAAATATGGAGAAATGGTGTTTTTGAATTAGCCCTATAAATTTCAATTATAGGGCTTTTACTTTGAGAAAATCTCCAATTTTTTACTGTACAAATATTTATTTTATTGTACACCAGTAGTCCCGTACACACATAGTTCTATCATTGTCTGGAAATTGCTATTTAAATAGCCTTTTTTTCGGGTTACAGTACTTGTTCAATACCGTAAATGCCAGCATATACGTGCACTACAATTCAAGCGTCGCCTGAGTTGACCAAGGAAATCCGAGTGTCGGCTGAGTTGACCGCAGTAGTTTAAGGTAATATCAAGCCTGGACCAGCGCGACACTAACTTCCGGGGATCCCCCGCCCCCAAAATACGTCATCATTGCGCCACTCGATAGTAAATAGAAGGTTTCTACAAACGTTGGATTTTATATATAAGTACCGAGCTAAAATACAGAGCTATTCCTGAAGCTGTGATCGAAATGGCTGTTTCTTATAATTTGTAAGATATTCCTTAAATGGAGAAATGCACTTTTAAAAAAAGTTCCCATGGTTCCTCAGTTTGTAGTTTAAAGATTAGCAACCCAGTTCTGGCTAGTTAAGCAAACAATCACAAAGCAAGAAAGGAAGCTCCAAAGTCAACAACGGGTAAGTAGCTTTCTGCAATCTACAGCCACAGTATGTATATTACATGATGAGTTCTTCAATAATTCTTTACAGTGTCTTGTATTTTCATTTGTAAGGACAAAGGAAGCCAGTGTGCGATATATGCTAACTAGCAGCTAGTTAGCATATATGGTGTCGTGGAAAACGGCGCGACATTTAAAAATACTGAATTGCTGTTGCCTCATTCGTCCCCGTAGCAATTTTGAATTAACGTAACAATGTTGTCAACTTAATTCATGGGATGGTTTTATCGTTTGTCTGCTCATAGAGAGAGAGAGTTTCTATTACAGACTCTGGTATCCACATCAGACCTACACTCCAGGGAATGGAGGCTAACTAATCACTTGAGCTTGATTCACAGCCTGGTCTTGACTGATAAGGTTGTGATTTAAGTAGCTGTGGGACGCCTGTTCAAAGCCTCCATGGTAACTAACTGACAACAAAGGCAGGGATAATTGTATCCCTCTCAGAGCACCACGCAACACTTGGAGGGAGTGCGGGCAGTTTGTTGTCATCGTTAAAGACAACGGGCATATTATTCCTATTATTAAAAAAATGTTTTGTTAATAACAAATTTGCCCAGCAAATCGTTTGCTTTGTCCACCTAGCTTTCGTTCAACTGCGCCCCTCTCTCGTCTCCTTGCCGCAGAGGTGAGATGGCCTCCTCCGTTCAGGGCCACCCGGCACCTCTCCTCCCGAACCTGGAGCCCGGGTTGGGGATGTCCGCCGCCATGCTGGGGCTGTCTGCTGGGTTGGGTGGAGCAGAGCTGGAACTGCAGAAGATGCTGATCGATGAGCGGATGAAGTGCGAAAACCACAGGACCAACTACCAGACACTAAAGGCTGAACATGCCAGGTATATTTCATTTAAGATTAACCTTTTTTGAATCCGATGGAGATCTATGCCTTTAGTTTCTTGTTGATGTATAAATATTATTGACAGATGGTAGATACAACAATAAATTGTTGCATGTGTAGAGAAAACTGGGAAAATAAAGAATTTCTACTATATCATCGACAACCATGGGCTATGATTTTTATGCAAAATCTGTATTTTAAGAGTGCAATAAATTCAATTTACATTTACAACAGTGCTATCTGTTGGAACTGTACTGAGCTCACTCATGAGGAGGTAATATATGTGTTTGTCTGAAAAAAAAATGTACTTCTTCCTTTATACTAGCTTGTAGGACCTTTATGATCGTTTAAGTGTGTCCCATTTATGAAACCTATACATGAGGTGAGTTTTATGTGCATTTATTTAGGTTATTTGCAGATTTCCTTTGACCAGGATAGTTGTGTGACAGGACATTTTTCATAACCTCCCATTTCTACCCGGTATCTTCTCTTGCAGCTTGCAGGATGAGTTCACCCAGGCGCAGGGGGAACTGAAGCGTCTGCTGAGCGACAGGCAAACACAGCAGGAGAAACTGCAGCTGCTGTTGGCGGAACTCCGAGGAGACCTGCTGGACAAAACCAGGGAGCTGGAAGAGCTGCGACTGCAGGTGAACCAAACCTGGAAAGGGGAAAGTCTGACGCCACAAAGCTTGCACGAATGATGCAGTCTTCTGTTGTTTGATTGTGGCCAAACCTCACTTGTTGGGAGGGTTTGGTTACGTTGACAGATTCAAAGAATTGGACAGTTTCTGTTGTGGTCAAGGATTCGGTTCAAATTTTTAAATTGACTTTTTCTAAACAAAACGTGTGTGTCTGTGTGGACCAGGTGATGACACCTCAGCGGCTGGAGTTGCTCAGAGCTCAGGTACAACAGGAGATGGAGGCTCCAGTCAGAGAGCGGTTCAATAAACTGGAGGAGGTCAGTCCGTCTGTTTCTATATGATTGCTCATTACTTCTTTGTATTAATGGCACCGATAAGAGCGAGACCTGTGTCATTGGTAGCTGCTACACATTTATTTATGTTTAGTTTGCACTTTCCCTTTGTCATAAATGGATATGCAAATTGAGGGAAAACTTAAGTGACCTATGGGAGTCAGAATGATTGGCAGGAAGACGTGTAATGCAGCACTAGTATAAAACAATACACAGACAGATAATACAAAAAAAGAAAGTTGTAAACCATGTCCCCTAAATGCCCTTTAAAGACAGAGTTTTGCATTATATGAATATGTACACACATTAACATGCTATGTGCCCACACTATGTCTTCCCAGCTCCCACAGGACAAAAATCACTCAGAAACAAAGAACTTCAAGAATGAAATTTAAGGGGAAATTAAAAACAAGATTTAAATTAAAAACACTAGATCTTGATCCACAGACCGTCTGAGAAGCTTTCGTTTGAAAAAGGACGAACCCTCGTTAAAAAAAATGTTAGGCAGCCTGTCAGGTGATTGGATGAATCAAACTTACCAAAGTCAGTCAGGAATCAAGACCAACTCCTGTTTTCATCCGAAGGGAGCATCAGGCCTGTGGTCTGCTGCTCTGATAGGGATGATGAGATGCTGCAACAGCACCGGTCAATCATATCCAGGAGTTGATTTGAACAAAATACTTTGCTTTACTTTTTATTCTATTTTGGTCCTTCGCCGGATACATTTTGGCATTTTCCTTTGTTGGCGCCGTTGTGGAAAATTGAAAAACGTCTTGACAATCATCTGGAAGTCAGCGCTCTCAAGCTTGTTTACATTTAGTCCGCTCTCCTGTCACCGATTGAGAGTTTAATTAGTTTTCTCATGTTTCTTTGTCAGGAGACTGAGAAGTACAGGTCAGAGTACAACAAGCTGCGTTATGAGTTCACCTTTCTCAAGTCGCAGTTTGACCACCAAAGAGAAGAACATGCTCACACACTGGAGGAGAGGAGGCTCCGCTATGAGGCAGAGGTCAGTTTGTTGTTCACGGTTATTTTACACTGATTTCTATCAAAATAAAGTAGACTCCAAGTGAAACGCCCCCCTTGCTGTCGTCAGATCTCCCGTCTGGAGAAGGACCGAGAGGACCTGATGGCTCACTATCAGGGTTCAGACCAGCTGCGTGACGGGAAACGAGTGGAGGCTCTGCTGAGGGAGAAGACTCAGCTCCACCTGAGGCTGAAGGGCCTGGAGACCGAGATGGCGGAGCTCCGCGCCCAGAAAGACAACTCGGGCCAGCAGGCCGATAGCGTCCAACGCATCCAGATCCGACAGCTAACCGAGTCTCAGTCTGCAGTCAAGTCGCTGGAGGTGAGACGTCTCATTGCTGCAGCTCTAACTTACAATTCAGCTTGATGACCGACTGCTGTTGTGACAGGCGGAGCGTCAGTCGCTGCGTCTACAGCTGGAGCGGATGGGGAGCGAACTCCATCTGACACACGAGCAGAACAGCCAGCTCAGCGGACGACTGAACAAAGCAGAGCGAGAGGTCAACTCTCTGACCTCCCAGGTACGCTGTTTTGTTTTAACTATAATATTATAAAGCATTGTCTTGTTTCCTCCATAGTTAATGGTGGAGACGGGCTATTGTTTGGCATATAGAGGGACTTCCTCTTTAGTGTTCAACACCTGAAAATAGATTTTGCCAGACTTTAGGGTGATGAAA